GCCTCTAATTCCGTTAATGCTTGCTGCGCAACCTGGCGATTCCGAGGATCTGAGACATTGACGGCGAATGTAACAGATTTTTCAGAAATACTTCCGAAGGACACCCGGGACGGTGTGCGATCTGAAACAGTAATACACAGCTATTCAACAGAAAAGAAATTGGACATGCGGTCGTACCGTGGGTAGCAGCACCCTGGACTGTCCCCAACGCCTCTCTGTTCTCGCCGGTCTCAAAGAGTAGTCGGATAAATTGGTTCTACATCTGGAGCTCGGTGGGAAGGTGGTGCCCGGATGTCTCGTCCAAAATTCCATTCAACTGCGCAAAACTTTTCATTGAACGTTCAAGTTCAAAAGGTATCAATTAACGTACCATTCCGTCAAGTTGCACCATTCGGTGAAATTCTCGCATCATCGAAACCTCAAGAAGGCCGCCTGACCAATTATTGCTGTTCAGGTTTTTGAGAACTCACTGCGTGGAGAATGGATCTAGACAGGCCCTGTCGAGGCGAGCCGACGATACCTAGACAGACCTAGAATAACCTTTGCGGCGGATACATGGAATGAGGCCTGCCGAGCCATTCCCAAGTATGATGAGCAATATACCCGCCGGTGGAAAGTTCGTTGGCGGCCACCAATGGCGGTCACTGGTCCTTGGCGGCCACTGGCAGATATCAAGGGGTGTTGTTAGGTGAGGCTTCCCAGGGTGTGCCAAGATAAGATAACGTCTGACAGCAATCTCCACCAGTCCGCATTGGGCCTTGGTGTTCACTTCATCCACTGAACTCCAGTGGAGTCCACTAGGTCCTGCTGGATTCCACTTTAAATTGGTACCTGTTTCAGGTCCATATGGATCTTGTTGGCAGATGGCAACCAGGTACTGTATCTTGTCAGTACCTACAGGGTCAACGGCCAACTTGTACCAAGTCGGTAGGGTTAAAGGACTTATTGAATTCATCTTCATCCATTTAGTTATAGCCTCCATATGGAAACCAGTATCCGCCCATGACCGCCGCTGGCTGCCGCTACATAAAGAATGCCATGTCCAAGCCCTTGACTACTTTTGAAATGCACCTACATTTCGACATGCTATCCATCAGCAAAAAAACAGTTGAATACATAGCGCAATGTAGCCAGGATAGCCAGGATAGCCCAGTAGCTTACCCCCTGGTCTGTAGCAACAGGAGGGAACTACAGACTGCTACAAAGTGTTCTGTAGTCACTCTGTTGACTATAATATCACTCGTAGCTCCGTAGCGTTGTAGGTCCCATAGCGCTCTATAGCACAGGATAGCTCCGATACTTCAGAATAAAGATATAAATAGGATTTATTTTAAATAAAAAGAGACAACAAAATTTGTTCTACCAACAAGTACAACAAAGATATTCAAAGCTCCGAAGCACGAATCCGCCTCGATCAGTGGACATCATCGCAAGAACAGCGCGCTGGCTTGCCCTGGCCCAGGCCCGAGGAACATCAAGAAAACCAAGTAAAGCCTGGTATACAGTTAGAGACGCTGAGAACAAAAAACAATGGAGATTTGACATACCCATGAGAAGCACCAAGCGCAAAATACGGTTGTGACAACGCAGAAATCCTGTGGAAGATCGCAGAGATAACACACGTACCCGATCCAAACCAGAATTTGAGACATATACGAGGTCTTGAGTGCTAAATGGAGCCGCGAGAAAGGTTTGGGATCTTGAGATCTTGAAGGACAGGGATGTTGAGGTAATTAGGATAGGACTTGAAGCTTGAAGACTTGAAGTCTTGAGATGCTTGCCAAGGCGAAGGATTGTGCGCTTGAAGTGCTTGAGATAGGGTGTTGCAGGAAGGCGCAGGCAGGTGTAGCAGGATGAGGAGAGGTTGTGGAAGGGTTGAACACACGGTCCTGAGATCGTTGGGGAGGAGGCTTTGAGGTGGAGCGAGAGAAGCAACGACAGGATGGGGAGGAAGGGCGGAGGGGCAGCACTTAAAGTCTTGAATTCATTTTAGGAGTTGGAGGCCCAGAACCCGAGGGACTGGGAACAGGAATAGGATAGAGAGGGTCCGAGAGGTGGGGGGGAAAAGGCGAGCGAGATGGATCATGGAGGGAAAGAACAACCAGCAATTTGATGGGAACAAATCACGCCACACCAGAAATGAGCGTGACAAGGACGAAAAATTCGTCGGACCCTCATATTGTTTCCAAATGATAAAGGGACCTGAGAGATCTGTTCCTGACCGTTTTCAGACTAATTTTGACTTCTGCACTCTATAACGCCACTTGTGCAGATTTCTTTTTTGATCTCAGTTGATTTTGGTCAAATTTCGGCCAGAAACTTGGCTTCCATGAGGAAAATCGGACAAAAATGGGTCTGACTGCTCAATTTCCAGCCTCTGAACCCCCAAGATTATTTTTGCGGATTCTATATGGCTCTGGAGCCATTTTCTGGGGAAACCGTGACAAAAAACATATTCGTCAACCGCCTTGGTGACGCGTGACAACGACCAAAGTTCGTCGTCGTCAGGCCCCCCTGTGACGCGTGACCGACGAATTGAATGAAAAGATACAGTATATAGCACTGTGAACGGGAAGGTGCCCGTGCCCTGCAAAATGACCGCCGTCTAAATCTACTCCAGCCCTACTTGCTCTGTAACTGCCTTCCGTCTAAATTGTACTACCCACCCAATTCTTCGTCTATTTGTGACCCACCGCTTGTCGGCCTCTTACCATCGGGGTATCCTGGGCACACAAGACACGTGTTCAAATCTGGACCCACATCCCCAAGCACATCACCACGTTCCAGGGTTATGTACGTTACTGTCGGTATGGAAAATGGAAAAGGAGCGGAGGCAGCACAGGCCTACTAGTCTGACCCTTGTGCGGATGGGGAGATAAACCCCTTGCAGTCGGCAGGACATCGACCCATGTCGGGCCAAATCTGCGGATCCGACGTCGGCATGCCGTGTTTCCCGGGGCCGGCACAGGTCGGCGCGTGTCTCGCAGGCCGTGTAGACGGGATCTCTGAACGCAGTGCATGTGGTTCAACTGCGCCAAAAGCAGGGTTCCAAAGGCTTCAGACATGGATATTTTTGTAAACAGTGGGAAAAGGGAAGCAAGGGGCGCTTGTTCGAAGCGGGAGCGGCGATTACCAGGCTTCAGTGAGGGATAAAAGGAGCACTGCTGCCAACACATGGCTCCAACGTTGCAGCTAACTTCTTCCAGCTAACCTCCATTACCACTCTTCCACTGACCTCAAAGTATCCATGGCCATACCACGTTCGCCTTCCCTCTCAACATGCATGGATTGCTGACCCTGCAACATCCTCCTAGGCATATTCCGTCTGATATTGCTGGCTGCGGCAGCCTTCGCCCTCGTGGGTGCCGTCGTTGCACCCTTGGCCGCGCCCGCAGCCCTTGGCCTCGTCGGATTCAGTTCCATTGGTCCCGTTGCAGGTACGTGATGATATTCAATCTTATTTTCGGCTAGCCCATGACCCTCCTCTCATAAGGCACCTTCGCGGCAACAACCCAAGCGGGAATCGGAAATGTCGTCGCCGGCTCCGCATTCGCATGCGCGCAAAGTGTGGCTGCAGGTGGAGCGTTGCCAGCGGTCGGTTATGTCATTTCGGCGGGGATTTCTGGAGTTATGGGGGGTTTTTGTGCGTGGGTCGCGTCTCTGTTCCGCTGAAGGAAAGCTATGCACCGAAATATGAAGTATGACTTTATTATGGCCAACAGAGTGATCGATCCTCAGGTCCGTTGTTTCCGCTCAGGAGTATGGCAAGACTGCGCTGCATCTCGCATCGGTGAGGGGTCGCGCGGCTATTCATCGAGCACAACGCATCTGGGCTTAGATTGTAGCCCTGCCGCCGGAATCGAAAAATGAATGGCTGGAACTTTTCAGATCGCGCATGAGCAGTAAAGTTCGGACGAATCCCAACTTAACTTGGGGGATATGACCATTGTGTCAGGTGTAGTTGGTAGTAGTCCCTGTTTCTGTAGGACCCCTTGTATGTTACAGTCTTGATTTCATTCGACGGAGTGTTGGACGTTAGAAGCTACAACCTCTACGAGAGTTTCAACAAGCCTTAGCGTCCAACCTAAGAAGCTTTGTGACTGCAATAGCAGAATGTTAGCCGCACGAACTCAATGCCCAAGACCACAAGTAAGAATCGCAATGCAAATTTATCGCTTCACTCAACAGCAAATCAAGCCCAATCAAGCACTCAGTACTCAATATAACAAGACTCACAGGCTACCAATCCCCAACCAAGCCGCAACTCTCTACCACATAAGCCGAAGGAAATTGACTCAAAATCTCGACCCGATACACCCAGAGCAACTGCAAATATAATACTCCATGATCAGTACACAGCGCACGGCGGTTCTCCTGGACCAATGGACGAATAACTTAGGCAGTCTCATTCTGCTTTTCATATTCAGGCTCAAACTCAGCGTTGAAGGTTGATATTCCGGTCAAAGCTCAAACAGGCATTTTAGACACTCCAGCTGACGATGGATGATTCATAGTCGATATCTCAGGCTGAAGGTGATAATTCAGTTCGAATACCCGTGCTTCAAACCGTCCAATCCTTACTTACTCATCGTCAAAAATCGCCGAAGTACAGGCGGCTGAGTGTGAGTTTTGGAATTTGATGCTCCTTGCTATTGATTCTTTTCATGGGGTTTGAACTAAATAAATAAATCGCAGAAGATCCTCGGGCAAAGAAGTTTGACAGATGGCGGACTTTGAAAAGGCTTAGACGTAATTTCATAAAGACTCAAAGAGAGAGAAACAGCTGGCCTACTGGTTTGGGAGGACCAGGCCAAATTGAACATCACAGGCTGAGCAGCTTGCAGCATCGACCACGGAGTGCGGAAGACAAAAGTACGGTGTTCGAACATAGTTTACAAAGCACGTACCTTTCGGTGAAAAAAAGTTTATGTTATTAATGGGAATGACGTTGGAGAGGAAATGAATGGCCGTTGGAGGAAAAAAAGATGAGACCCGCCATATTCGGACGCCGGGAGTCGAACCCAGGCTTCCTGCATCACCTGTTGAACTGGCAATGATGAGCAGATGTGCACTGCGCACCACGCCCGAGTTAGACTTTAACTTGAGCACCAGACTATGCAGGGGAGTACCTGACGGGATCCCTGCAGAAATGCGGGTGTTGCGCTGAAACGGTGGTACCGAGTTGGTAATCAAGAGACGGATGTTGGGAGGCATGCCTGTCGTGACAAATCACTTTTAGAGAAATAGGCGAGAAGAAGAAGAAAAGAATGACTCGTAGCCGCTCATTCGGACGCCGGGAGTGAACCCCACGAGATAAATGTATCCCGAGGGCGAGTGGATGTGCGCCATACACCACGTCCGAGCTATTCTCCGGAAATGGAGGGAGGCTGCGAGGGCGAGTTTGTGGCCTCGGGCGTACAAACCCTGTTAGATAATGAACATTCATGTGAATGAGAATGAAGGAAATCAATCACCGTTCGAGCTTAACCCGCTGAGACAAAGAAGAAAGAAATTAACTACCATTTTCCACATTCAAACGCCGGGAGTCGAACCCACATCACGCGTCAATATCTGAATGAGGGCGACCGGGTGTGCGCCATCTACCCCGTCCGAGCTATTCTCCAAGCTTCGAGGGAGGCTGCGAGGGCGGTTTTCTGGCGTGGGTCGAAGATGATGATGGTTCAGATATAGTCGAAGAGGTCCAGGTCAGATAAATCAGCTACCGTGAATAACATCGAGTGAGATGAGGTGAAGAAACCTCTGAGAAAAAATTAATAATTAAAAAAAAAAAAAGGCGCTACCGACCGTTCCATTCCGACGCCGAGAGTCGAACCCGGGCTTCCTACACCATGTACAAGTGAGCTATGCAGGACGAGCGGGTGTGCACCGTGCACCACGTCCAGGTACTCTTTTACCTTGGAAGGAGGCTACGAGGGCGGGTTTCTGGCGTAAGTCAGATAAATAGAATTGATAAAGTGTATGAAAATTTGCGAGGGTTCCTATCAGAAAATGAGCATTCATGTGAACTATTGCCGAAGAAATGAATTCCAGTTAAGTAACCCGTGAGATAGAGGAGGAGAAAAAAGAAATACTCATAACAAACATTCGGACGCCAGGAGTCAGCCCGAACTTTCTGCATCACATGTCCTGCGGCTCCCAATATGAGCGGGTGTGCGCCGTGCACCACGTTCGAACTGTTCTCTGACCTTGGAGGGAGACTGCGAGGGCGAATTTTTGGACGTACGAAGAGGACCCTGTCATATAAATGAGCATCCGTGGGATTGACCTTCAAAGGGTGATGAATCACCATTATGGAACCCGTAAGCAGAAGAAGAAAGAATGTAACCTGTGGATGATATTCGAACGCCGGGAATCGAACCCGGTCTGCCACATCACACGTCAATATTCAAACGAGGGCGGGCGGGTGTGTGCCATACACCACGTCAGAGCTATTTTCCGAGATTTGAGGCTGCGACGATTCTCTGGATGTGAGTCGGAGACGAAGACGAGCATCCAGGTGAATGACCTCGAAGGAAATGAAGCAGAGATGGGCGAGTGGGTGTCCAGCGTGCACCACGTCCGAGGTACTCTTTAGCCTTGCAAACAGGCTGTAAGGCCTATTTTCTGAAAGGTCCTGCCATAAAATTAGCATTCATGTGAATGAGATTGGTAGAATGAATCACCATCATGGGAACCGTGAGACAAAGCAGTAGAAAAAATACTTTGTGAGGCCTAATATTCGGACGCCGGGAATAGAACACGGCCTTCCGCTTTCTAGGTGATCCCTTGTATAATGCGAGCGGTTGTGCGCCATACACCGCGTCCGAGGTACTTTTTAACCTTGGAGGGTAGATTTTCTGGGCGCGAGGGCGATACGTGCAATGGGCACAAAGGACGGAGTGGCGTATCTGAGTTTCAGAGCAGCCGCTGCTCCGCTGCAAAAAGCCCAGAAGTTGACAGAGTTCGGACGTGGGAGTCGGGTCAAACGCGGTCTTCCTTTTGTTCTTTCTTTTTGGAATATTCAGAATAGCTGCAGCAAGAACAAGGAGGGTGCGCAGCGCCACGCTCGAGGGCGAGAGCTTGGGTACTTTATACGCGAACAAGATCCACGATGGATGAAAACTTTGACCTGAGGACGTGAAGTTGATGTGAAGGTCAAGGCGAAGGCTTGCTTGATCCCATCACGGCATCACGGCGGCTTCGCGTCTCTTTGTCTTGACCACATCCAGACCACTCAGCGTCGAGCCGGACGGTGGGCTCTTTGTCGACATCAGGCTATCTTCTTGCCTTGTACTCGAAACCTCTGCTATCTGACTGGTCAATCTAATCCTTTCTACCTCTCGAATCAACTGCCCTACGTTCTCCTCCGCGCGCTCTCGCAGCGAGCGAATGGGCCGAACGATGCTTCACCCCCTCGGAACCCAGGCCCGCCGTAGCCGATGCATTCCTGCACATCTAGAGGCCATTAGTACCCAGGATAAGCTCCTTGCGGGCGCGCAGTCGTCTAAGCCTAGCTTGCACCGCCAACGCGTACCTCCCGCAAACCCTAGTCGCGTACCTATACCTACGTGCGTCTATCCTTCTCAAACTGTTTGCGATTCACGTAACTCCCTCGCAATCAGAATCCAGCCAGTCCCCAGCACCATCAGCATCCGAATCCTCCCTCCCCGCTACTCCGCGCGACATCCTCAGCGCACAGGGCGCGCTCTTCCTCCGCCATCACGCCGCCCTCGCCCTCTTTCTGTTGCTGTTTCTCTTCACCCCTTCGTCCTTATTTGCACCCCGCGCTTCCTCCTATCGCATCCCCCTCTTCTCCCGCGTCGCGCGCCATTCCCGATTCCCCTGCGTCGTCGAATGCGCACTGGACTACGGTTACGGCTACACATGGTGCGGTGGACCTACCTAGCCACCCCGCAGCTCGGGAGAGCAGCGCGCGCTCGCGAGTCGTCACATGGCGGGGTGTGTGTCCTGGGTGAAGATTCAACAAGCCCGGCCTCAGGCCCGCGCCCGCGTCGAGCGCGCCACGAACGTAAACGCGGCACTCCACGCCTTCTCGTCGACAGCGGTGTCGGTGGCGAGCACACGCATGCCTTGGTCTTGCCTCGTCAGATTTTTTACCGGATTAACCCGGTCAGGATATTATGCTTCCTTTCAACTGGCCATGGAAGACGTCCCTCTGCTAATGCATGTTAACCCACGGCCAGCCTGTGCCGGCGTCGTTTGGGCGCTTTTCTCGGCGTCAGGTACATTTAAAGTCCACCTCGACTTACCAATGCTCGTTTAAGCTACAATACCTGTTTCGGACCGCATAGGCGACTATCTAGTGGCTGCCATCACAGTGCCGTCGGTGTTCTGGTACGTAATTTTAACATAACACTCTATTCATCGGCTCACTCCTCAACCCAGATGTTCGTGTGACGTGCTCCATTCCCGGAGCGATTTGGAAGCCACCATCGCCGTGTTTCCTTGCCCGGTATGATGCCTTTCTGGTTGAATGTTCAGCCAGTATGCAGGAAGGATGTCTCATCACTAGCTTCAGTTCTGCCCCAACCAATATGTTCCTCCCAGGAGCTGAGTATATATATTATGCGTCGTTTCGCCCTCGCCCTCGGTGCTCAGATATCTAATCTTAGCGGTTATTTGGTCGCTGAATAATGTATTCGAGTGTTACGAGTACATTCCTAGCAGAGTCCGAACTGCCACAGTCATGGCCTCGGACTCGCGTGAGGTCAGCCCAATCTTTGACTTGGACTCTTTTCCGACCTTCATTCGTTGGCTGAATGTTCAGCCAGTATGCAGGAAGGATGTCTCATCACTAGCTTCAGTTCTGCCCCAACCAATACATTCTTAACAGGAGCTGAGTATTATATAGTATGCCTCGTTTCGCCCTCGCCCTCTGTGCTCAAATATCTGATCTTGGCGGTCGCAGTTATTCGGTCGCTGAATGCCTACACACTGGCGGCATAATGTATTCGAAGTGTTACTTACATTCCTTGCAGAGTTCGAACCGTCCCTGCGTGAGGTCAGCTTACTTTTCTCTCATTGCAGAATAGGATACATCTTTTTGATCCCTACGTGAAGTTCGAACTCGGCCTTGGAATTGTTTTTCTCTTTCTGATTGGTTCTTATATATAATCAATTACCCCGCCCATGACTGCCACATGCCGCCACCCAGTACGCGCAAATTCCATTCCTTGGTATGCCCGTCATGCATTCCCGAGGCGTTGCTGCCGTCCTCAATGTTTATTTTTGCGCAGCAACTGGTAGAGAGACCCAGGGTGCGTCCCTGTGCCAGTGTCCTGTCAACATTGGAACCTGAGTGGTAGTGCATGATTATTTCCATCTTGATACACTGTGTGCTCTTTCATCCAACCCCGATCGCGGTTTTTGGCCGTTTTCCTGCTAAAATTCACCGGGAAATGCCGAAAAATCGCCCAAAAAGGAGCTGAATCTAAGAGTGTCGCCGAGCATCACGCAGTGCTCTGAGGGCATTTCGAGTGGTTGGGGAGAGGTTCTTATGAAGGTCCTTACTGGACAAAAGGATTTTTTTCTCGTTGTCGTCGGCGATTTGAACGAGATCTTGCAAGATCTTCCAATTTCTGTCAAGATCTTTCAAGATTTTGCCACTTTTGTGAGATCTTTCAAGATCTTGCAAGTTCTTCAAAGATCTGACTTTTCTTCGTTGTCGCATTGCATGACATCTTTGAAGATCTTTGGAGATCTCATCGATTAACGTTCTTGCAAGATCTCCGGAGATCTTTCAATATCTCCCAAGAATTAAAGTAAAAATTTTAGTCTTGGTTTTTACCGACATCTTGCAAGATCTTGGATGAGACATTTTTCCTTCTGCGGCCTGCTCCGGCGAGCGCCCCGGGCGCATCAACAACCCTCCGATCGGAACAATCCGAGCCGATGCACATCAAGGGAATCAAAAGTCATAATTTTGTGCCAACTCGTCCCCAACCTGTCTCCACACATCTAGACTAGTCCCCACCATACCTAGTCATGTCTAGAGTGAACCTTTGTGGGGCATAGTAAGACATCTATTGATTTTTGCTTCAAATTGCATAACTGACAGACAGTCCGAC